AGAGACAGGGGCTAGGTGGCCTCCTGGTCCCCACATCAAAGTACGGGGCAGCCAGCCCCCTCGACCACATGGACATTTGCTCCCTTCCACTAAAGGGTCCTCCTCGTCAGGGTTCCCACGTGTGAAGCACTTACACGCTACACTCAATGCCAAGCACCTTACACGTTCTCACCGAATCCTCACAAAACCTTTACGAGAAAAACGTGTTTGTTACCATCTCTCTTTTAGAGATGAGAAAGTCACATGCTCAAGCGAGCCGCACAGCAGGCTTTTAACCCAGGCGGCATGAGTGCTCAGAGCCCAGGTGCTCAGCCGCTGCGGCTCCTCTGCCTCCTGCCTCCAGACACCGCCCCACGCCTCCATTACCGCTCATCCGCCTGCCGGCTAGCAGACAAGGCATGCCATCTCCCGCAGCGGCTCCCGGGTCCCCCTCCTCAACCTCCCCCAGACATCCCGCTTCAGCCTCTGGTGACAGCTCTGCTACAGGACAGAGCACAACCCACGAGGCTCGGCCCGCCATGGCCCTCCCTACTCTGCCCCCAAAGCCACCCTGTGCAGCGGTCCTCGGGGCCTCAATCAGGGCACAGGCAAGGTCCTCAACCACTCAGGCCCGTTCACCAGCCACCTCCCCTGCGAAGCCCTCCTGGCTCTCTCCTCTAGACCCCCAGCTTGCTGGGCAGAGCTCATCCCTCTGCACACAGGAAACTCTGGGCCTGGACCTTTATTATGGTGCGGAACACATGGGGTTATAATTACACATCCCCCCCAAAAAAAAAAAAAATTACACATCCCCAAACCTGCCTCTTCCAAGAGTTGTTCCTCAACGGCACAGTCCAGGTCTTGTTCATCTTTTGAACTCTCAGTGCCTAGCATTGGGCAAACAGGAGGTGTTCACACAGTATCTGTTGAGCAAGCAAATGCCCCTCATTCCAAGGGGCAACCCAAAACAAGCCAGTGGCCAAGATCTCTAACTGATGACTCCAGCCTGTGCACTTGTGCACGTATGTGCGGGCCCCGGCACACACACAGGGGAGAAGCTGGAGGTGCTGGGGGTCCCTGGCGTGGTGTGCTCAGCTCTCCCAGGCACAGCAAACCCCGTCCCTAGGTTCCCAGGAAAGACAAAGCCCCAGATGCACAGGGGCCTGGCCGGGCCGGCCTGGAAACCCACACATCACGGCAAGCCGGGGGGGCTGAGGAAACACTGAGAGTTCTGACTTCCCCTGGAAAAACTATAGTCAGACAGGAAACACACAGGCGAGGATGGTGAGCTGTGGAGATCCGGACACGTGCTCTCACCCCTCTCCCACGGGGACCAACCCGGCAGCACAAGGAAAATCCCCGAAGCCACGGGCCCGCCCTCCCCGGGCCCAGCCTTCAGAGCTGGCCCTGGGGTCTGTCTCCTCCGCGGTCTGACAGCCACAGGGGTCGGGCCTCAGACTGCGGGTCCCTATGTCACCTCCCCCACGAGCCTGCCTGCCTTGTCCGGGGTATTTGCCTTCTTCTGCCACCCTCCCGCCCCCGGCCTCAAAGGGAGCAGCAACTGTCACCACCATTGTCCTCGTCAGTTTCCCTGAAGGCAAGGGCCTATTTTGATTCACCACCTAAGGAAGTCTGGTGTCTAAAAGGGTATCGATTGCAAAGACAAAGACGAAAACCCGTGGCTGCAATTCCCCACCCGAGCCACTGTGCCCACAGCGACCCCTGACTGAACATGTCAACCCACAAGTGTGGAGCCACAGCTGAGAAAGGCCGGGGCTGTCCGTCAGGTACAGTCTGAACAGGAAGGTTTCTCTTCAGAGGAGCAATGCTGACCCCAGGATTGGGGGCCTGAGGCCACTCAGAGCACAACGCCAGGGCGGAGAGTACCCTTGGGATTGGCCGGCCAGCACCTGCCGGGAGGGCTGGGTCCCACTGAGGCTGTCACAGGGCAGCACAGTTCACTCCCTGCATTTCCATTTCCCCATCTGTAAAGTGGGGTGGCACTCCAGACCACCCCGTGGGGCCCTTTAACGGATCTGCCAAGAAAACATGATGACAAGTCTCTGTAGCACTCAGCAGGAAGTCTGTAATTGCTTTGTACTCATTTATGTCAGTATCTGTAGCACAAAAAGCCAAACACCGACCGGGTTCCTGTCACACCACCGTGACAACCATCACCAACCCCACCCCTTCGAAGCCAAGCTCCCACCCGCGAGGTGAGCACCTGCCGGCCGCATTTCACAAGTGGAGGATGGAGCGGGTGGGCACGGACTCAGGCCAGAACGAGGTCCTCTCTGTGAGCGCCGCGCACTTACACCGAACCCCGTCTCCCTGCAGGCCCACGGATAACCTGAGTCCCACAAGTGTCTCTCTCTCTGGCCAGGTTACAGACACTGCGTGGTACCCTGGCAGGGTCAGCAGGAAAAGGCCAGGCATCTGAGGCACCTGGGCAAGAGGCCAGGTGGCAAGGGGCCCTGCTGGCACTCCAAACTTCCTCAACCTACAGAGGCGGCGGCAGGGATTAGAACCCAGCAATGAGGTGCACCCACAAACAGGCAGCTCTGGGGCAGCTTCAGCGGAAGGCTCTGGCAGCAAGGCCTGAACTGCACACCAGTGTCCATCAGCCTTCTCACCCAGATTCCTTCAGTCTCGGGCCGCAACTTATCAATGGGCCAGGGCCTCTTCTACCTCCTCTGCCCAGGCTCCAGGCCTCTCAAATCCCAGCTCACTGATGAGGTCACTGAATTTGCACCCCTCTGATGGACCGACCCACAGGGGCTGGGGTTATCAGGTCCTTGGCATTCCTGCCTCCAGCCCCCAAGACCTGAGACCTGGTGGACTAGCCGCTTGCCTCTCCACACCCCTTCCTTCTGTACAGGCCCCAACTTACAGACAAGACAGTCACCCACCCAGGAGACAAATGTGCAAGTCTCCTCAAGACAACTCCATACATACCCTGCTCTACGTGATAGGGGGGTGACTAGTATTTGGGTCGGGGCAAAACAAAACCATTTCCTCCCTTTTCCGGGTAGTGGTCTCAGTGAAATGTGAGCTGGGTCCCCATGCTCCTCCCTTCCTGCGCCCTCACCCTTTTGTGCAGCCATACAGTCCCAGTCCAAGGCGGGCAGTCATAGTCTACTACTGTAGTCATGAATAACAGCTTACGTTTACTAAACATTGAGAATGTGTCCGGAAACACAGCGGTTGAAGGCAAGGTTGGATTTGAAGCCCACGTATATTGTTTTACATTAATCCTCTCCTTTACCCACCTAGAATAACCCCATTTGGTGGAGATATTATTACTCCCACTTCACAGATGGTGACATTAAGGCTCAGAGAAGTAGCTGGCTGGGTGGGATACACAACCAAGACAACGGGCTTCAAGCCCAACCTTGCCTTCAACCGCTGGGCTGCACTTCAACTGCCTGCTGGTCCTGTGCACGGTGTGAAATGCAGCCTCTTAGCCAGAAGTCTACCTGGGAACCTCAGTCAGCCGTTACCAGTTCAGGAGAGCCCGGGGAACCCACAGACACACGGAAGGGGCCGTGCCTGAGTCTGATGCCGGGGTGATGTCCCTCCCGCCCCCTGCAGGGTCTGTCCTTCCTCCACTCTGGAATCCAGGCTCTCAAATCATCTCACATTTTCTCCCGCTGGCTACCAGGGCCCGAGAGGGGCCATGGAGGAAGGCTGCTGTCGTGTGGAAGTTCAGCAGCTATGTGGGATCGGGAGTGTGCGGCTGAGGATGGCTGTCTCACCACAAGACCTTCCTTCCTCCCCGTCTCCTCAGTCATCTACACACAGGTACGCCATACCCAAGGTCTGGAAGACCTTCTCTTGGGGGGTGTCACTTCCTGAACCCTCATCCTCTTCACAGTCCTAATTCTGAGCCTCCTCTAACTCCAGTCTCAGGGGGATAGGGGGGTGGAGGTGGGGGGGTGCCGGGGGTTCTTGCAGGAAGCAACCCACAGCCTGGGGTTGCAGACACATCATCTCACACTTGGAGGCGGGAGAATGAAGGGCAGAGCTGGGGGGCCCATCCGGCCACAGCATAGGCACGCGCTCAGTGGCATCACTCTCTGAAGGATCTGGGGTTTTTCAAAATCCCCCAACTCTCTCTTTCGCAGAAGCAGCCAAGGTCAGGTCTGGGACGGCAAAGAGGCAGGAAACAGTAGCCGCTCCTGGCTCCCTCCAGCCACAGGACGCAGGACACAAAGGGCTGGACCCCAATTTGGCTGTGTCTTCTTGAAGAGTACCTGACACGAAGCAGTGAGGCTGGCCTTTCTGGGGCCAAGCTCTGGAGAATGTGCTTCCAAAGGACAAGGGGAAGCCTGGCCCCTTTCCCTGCCCTGGCTTTGGGAGTCTGCCCATGCACACAGACCTCCAAAATTCAGCTTCAGGACAAAAGAAGCGGCGGGAAAAACATCCACTGCCTCCCCTCGGGCTTTTCCAAACCAAACAAGACCACCTTCCTTCCTGGCCCCAAGAGAGAGATGAGTAGGCCCGGCTCCGCTCCAAAACCAGCCCTACGCCAACATCTGCCTAAGTTCTACTTGGGGAACCCAAAGGTTCCTTTCTAAGTAGGAGCCCGGCCGGGAGGCCCAGAAGTGCACCAGATTGCTCTTTTTGGAAAAACGGTGCATCTGGTCTGGCCTCCGGTTCCGGGGATGGCGGGGGGAGGACGCTGCCTCGGCCGACATCGCTCCCGGGGTGTGGGGGGACCCGACGTCGGCCCCGCTGGTCTCCAACTCGCTAGGATTTTTAGGCCTCTGGGCAAAGCGCCTGGAACACTCCCCCCTTGCTGGGGGTGGGGGGTGTCCTGTCAGGTGACTGAGGACCCGGATGCCCCCCGCCCCCGGTGACCACCCGGGCCGAGGCGGGGGCGGGGCCCGAAAGTTTGCCGGAGTCTCTCCAGCGGCGGCCCTCGGGCGCGCGCGAGCCGGGGCGCAGACCCCGCGCCGCCCCAGCGCGCGCGCGCGCGGCGGGCCCGGGAAGCCGGGGGTGTGGGGAGGGGGCGCACTTACTGGCCCCTTCGATCTTGTCGGCGCCTCGGCTCCACGTGATCTGCCGCGTCTCCAGCTTGACCTGGAAGGTCTTCCGCTCGGGCCGCTGCGACTTCTTGGAGTAGAACAAAGTCATGACGGTGCCCACCTCGAGGCTGCGGCAGAGGTGCAGCACCTCGGCGTCCGAGGGCGCGCCGGGCCCGCAGCCGTTGGCGCAGGGGGACGCGGCGCCCGCCATGGCTCGGGTGCCGGGGGCGGTGGCGGCGGCGGCGGCGCAGGCCCGGCGAGAGCGAGCTGGCGGCGGCAGCGGCGCAGGCGGCGGGCGAGCGGACCCCGGCGGCGGCGGCTGCTGCGGGCGGAGACGGGGCGGGGCCTGAGCGGGGGCGGGGCGGCCCTGCAGGCCCCGCCCCAGCCCGCGCGCCGGGAACAAAGGCGCCCGCGCGCCCGTGGGGAGGACCCCCGCCCGCTGCGCCTGCGCCCCGCGACCCCCCGGGCAGGCCCGGCGTCGGGGCACGCGCGCGCGCGTCGCCTGCAATCCGCTAGCCGGGCCCTCGGCCCCACGGGGCCTCCTCGCACCGCCCGGGACACAGCCCGGCTGCCACGGCCGGCCCCGTCACGCGCGGCAACCTCGCGCCGGCCCGGCCGTCTGTCGCGCGCGCACAGGCCGGCTGCCCAGCCCACCGTCCAGCACAGGCCCTGCCGCGGCGACCCCTTCCGAAGCCTGCTCGCGGGGCGCCGCCCGCGCGGCCACCGGGAGGAGAAGTGCAGGCCCGGGTCGCCCTCCGGGGCCCGCCGGCCAAATCCGGTACCTGGGAGGGCTGCCCGGCGGAGGGAACCAGGCCAGGCCGGGCCGCCTCACACCGGCGGCGGCGGCGGCGGCGGCGGCGGCGCCGGAGGAGGAGGAGGCGGGTCCTCCGCGCGCCCTCTCCGGGGCGGGGCGGAGGCGGGGCAACCCGGTGATTGGTCGGCAGGCTCTGACGGACAGCCTGCCAGTCCCGCCTCTCCCCCCTCCCTTCCCCCGGCAGCCGGGGGCGGCCCCGCCGGCAGCGCCTGCGACCGTCGGACCCATGATCTTCCCGGCCCTGCGGCCGAAGTGGCCTCGCGGGTGTGTGTGTTGAGGGGGGCGGAGGGGGGGGGGGGTCCCGGGTCCCGTTTATTCGGAGTAGCCCACAGGCCTGAGCATCCCCTGCGAGCCCTCCAGTGGTCTTGGCCTGGCCGTACCCTCCGCACCCCCACGCCGCGAGTCTCCACGCGACTAGGACGCCGGCTCAGGCCCTGTGGCTCCGCACCGTTGCTGCAGATGCTCTCCCGAGCTTTGGTTTTCCCGGGCCAACTCTGTCCTTGTTTTCCTCCTCCGTCTCTGGCCGCTGCCTTTTGACACCTCAGCAGCTTCTTTTCCTCCGGGGTGGGTCCTGAGTCAGTTCCCAAGGCGGCCTGACCCTTCCCTCGGCGTCACTGCCCCCCGCCAAATTCAGGCACCCGAGCGCCGAAACTGTATCCCCCCCTGCATCCCGTTACCTGTTTCACGTACCCACGTAGCACAGACATCTCACATCTCTCCTCAAATTGCTTCTCTCATGGTCTTCAGTTTCTCAGAACATGCCTCTGGTAAGGTGCTCGGGGCTAAAACCGTTGGAGACAGCCTTGGTTCCTCTCTCTCCCTCAACCCCGCAGCACTCCATCAAGTCCCATTCCCTCTGCCTTTCCATGTCTCCGCTTTGCCCACAACCTCAAGGCTCATCTTTTCTCGTCCAGACTGTTTACCTTCCTTGGTTTTGCCTGCGTGTATCCCCTATGCTCTAGTTTTTTGGTTTTTTTTTTTAATTTGGCTGTACCGGGTCCTAGTTGCAACATAGTTGGGGGTTGCGGGATCTAGTTCCCTAACCAGGGATCGACTCAGGCCCCCTGTGTTGGGAGTGCAGTCTTAGTCATTGGACCACTAGAGAAGCCCCTACGCTCTGGTCTTCAAAATGAAATTAAATCTTCACTCCCTACCTCCAGGCTCAAATCATCCAGAATTCCCATGGCACACAAAATCCCCTACCTGGCCCAGCAGGTCCGGCATGGTCTGGCCCCTTTCTTTCCCACTTCATCTCTCACCACCTTCCTTTCATTCCATTCTCCGGGCACAAGGTCTTTTGGTGGTTATTCGATTAATTTGTGCTCTTTGTGTTGTGCAGCCACTCCCTAGATGCACCCTGGGCAGTCTAATTGCCCCGTCACAGAACACCACCCAAACTAAAGACACCTTCAGTTACAGTAGAGCCTGTCTGATGTTGAGCCAGACAAAGCAGGACCACGTACTGCATTTCAGAGGTAAGAGGCCCAGCAGGGCACCCAGCTGATGCTAGAGAAAGATCCAAGGACTTCCCTGCTGGTTCAGTGGTTAAGATGCCATGCTTCCAATGCAGGAGGCACAGATCTGATCCCTGGTTCAGGGAACTGAGATCCCACATGCCATGTGCTGCTGTTGTTTAATCACTAAGTTGTGTCCAATTCTTTGCGACCCTCAAAAAATGATAAAGGAAAAAAAAATTAGGAAAAGACCCAGGCACCCAGGAATGTGTGAGTACGTATATAAGAGTATGTGCTCAGGCAGGCCACCCAGCTGGGTGATGACTAATGTCTGGGGACTGCCTTTGACTTGTCTTTCTGTAGTGGTAGCATGTGTATGTGTGTTGATCCCCTCAAGTGCAGCCCCCAAGGAGCTGAGAATTCAGCCTGAAGTTGAGGCAGCCATTTGTGCTAATTGGCTGTGGTCACCCAAGGGGAGGTGGAGTGGCTGAGATGGACTGCCACCTAGTGACAGACTTTTAAAGTAGGAGGGAGGGAATGAAAGTTGACCCAGTGCCCGGCCCAGCATTGCAAGGTTTGCAACATGTGCTCACACCTGATCCTTATAATTACTCTAATCAGGAATTATTGTTCCCACTTTACTGATGAGAAGCAGATTCAGAGAAGTTCCGTGGCTCACCCCAAGGCCACATAATTAACCAGTGAGGATTTGAATTCCTAAATCTGACACCGTGCATCTTTTTCCTCGCAGGAGAGCCCCTGGCTTCCGTAGGTGCCAGTGGACAGTGGGCACATGGGCTGACTGGCTACTCAGCAAGGGTGAGGGGAGGCCTTTGGCATGGCTGGCCCTGGCCACAGGAGGCGTGAGTGCAGAACTTGAGCGCTCACGGTGTGTGGCTTGGGCTTGCTGGGGCTTGATGTCCTGCTCGTCCCTGTCTGCAGACTGGAGCTTCCCTGTGCCCAGTGCCGGTGCCAGGAGTCAGGAGAACAAGAGAAACTCGGCACTAGGCCCCCAGGAATTCACAGATTTAAGACAGGTGAGCACTCTGTTGTGTAGGGACAGTTGTGATGGAGGAAGAAAACAGAGAGCTGTGAGCTAAAACATTAGGGAGACCTACTTCAGATTGAGTAGACAAGGAAGACCTCTTCCTTTTCTGCGGGACTCAGCAGAGGCTGGAAGGATATGAGGAGATGGCTGGCTGTATTATTAGAGGTGGGTTGGAGGAAAGTCCTTTCTAGACAAGGTGACAGCATATACAAAGGCCCTGAGGCCAGAAAGAGCTTAGTTAAGTCTAGGAATGGGAAGAAGGCTAGAATTTACTGAGAGGGAGCACGGAGTAGGGGGGAGTGGGGGTGTTGGTGAGGCCAGGAAGACAGGTGGGGGGCTGGCTTGGCCCCTCACTGCTCATCTGATCTTATCCATTTTCCCAGGAGGCCTCCTAAGTGCTGTTGCCCTCACTACTTGGTGGGCAGTGATGCTTTTTAGAAATCTCCATTTCTCCATTTTCTGAGAGCTTCCCGACATATAGCCCGGGCTTCCTGGCTTCTGCTTTTTGCCTCTGGGGCCGGGTCTCCAGGGGCTCCAGCAATCCCCGCCAACAGGAGCTCATGTTTTCAGCCTGCTGCCAGGCCCTCAATCAGGAAACAGGGCCCCATTTCCTTCTGGGACTTCTGAGCCAGCATCCCAGGCCTCAGGTGCCTGCCTCCACCCAACGGGACTCAGGAAAAGCAGGGTGAGCCGAGGGTGTGACCAGTATGGGCTTCCCCCAGCGCAGCATATATATATGGGAACGTGGGTGTTACTGGCAGTGCCTGCAGCTGCGCTGGCTGGGAGGTGCAGCCCAGCACCCACACCAGGCACACGCCCATGACATCACCCAGGCTCGCCTCGCTCGAGCCTATTTCTGTCAACACTCATGCTTCAGCATGCTCCGGCGACACCAGTACCTGTGCCTGGAGTGGGGGGAGGTGGAGTCCCACCCAGCCCGGCTGCCCCTCTAGCTCTGTGGGCCTGACCCATGGGTGTTTACTTACCAAACACTTAGAGCATCACTTGACATATAGTAAGCCCCGTAGAACTGCTTTACCACCCCCAGTGACTCATTTACTTTTCATGACAGCCTTGAGATAAGTACTTTTATTTATTTTTTTGAACAACTTATTTATGGCTGGGCTGGGTCTTCACTGTTGCATGTGAACTTGCTCTACTTGCAGAGAGCAGGGGCTACTCTCTAGCTGCGGTGCGCAGGCTTCTCATCGCGGTGGCTTCTCTCATTGTCCTCACGGGGCTCTAGGGCTCATGCTCAGTAGGTGCAGTGCACAGGCCTAGTTGCCCCGCAGCATGGGGAATCTTCCTGGACCGGGGAGTGAACCTGCGTTCCTTGCATTGGCAGGCGGGTTCTTAACCACTAGACCACCGCGGAAGTCCGAAATAAGTACTCTATTATCCTCATTTTACAGAAGGAAAAACTGAGGCCCAGAGACATTTAAGCTAAGAGGCGGCAGAAATGGGATTCAGGCCCATCCAGAGTCCACATCACGTTGCCTTCCACCTAGGTATGAGCATTTCACTATTTTCTTTCCCTGTAATACCCATACCTGATGTGTTTTCTATTTTTAGTTGTTTGGTTACATCTTGTTCCAGGTTGGGTTCTTTGGGAAGCCTCTGTGACAGAGGTTAGTGTGCAAGGTGTTTTTTCAGGACACGTCCTTGGGATCAGCACTGTGGAAGGGAGGGAAGAAAATGGGAGGGGGCACTGGGAGAAGTTGAGCTATGATGCAGGTCTGGTGGCAGCCTCAGCCTGCACCCAGGGAGCTCTGTTGCAGTCCCTCCACCAGGCACTGAACGTGGCCTGTCCTAGGCCAAGCACAGCCTCAGATGTCTGCAACCATGGTGGTCTTAGGGGGCTGATGGTCTCCTAGCAACAAGTGCTCCCTCAAAGG